AGCATTTCTGACCTTTGAGTGAACTTCTATGAATCAATACCAGCACAGTGGAAGGAAGGTTAGCAGCAGTTTTCCTCTTGTCTGATTGTAGCCAATATTACACTTGGAACATCTAAAATACATTAGGAACTACTGTAATCACATTTATGCAGCATTTTTGCAGGAAATTTGCAGCTTTAATCTGTGCTGTTGTGGAGCTGCTGTTTGAAGGGTAGGATCCAAGGCCAAAGCCGATGGTGTCGTTAATGGGTTTCTAAGCTGTTGGATATCAGTTTTTACATGGCAGAACTACAACAGGAGGCCTTAAGAGACCGTGCTGTGGAATCATTTTCTTGGCTATATTTTGCCATGGGGAAAATAAAAGTGGATTAAAAAACATTCTCACTAATAGCACTTAACTGAAACTGAAACACCATTATTTTCCTCCACTTCAGATGACAAAAATAAAATTGACACAGCTACCCCTGGATATGTGAGGAGCCGTATGAGATCATTCAAGGCAAGGTTTGCCAGTTTAGAGTCATATGACCCTACAGCTCAAACATTATAAAGGACCTTTCCTAATTCTTCAAATTTCTGAAGCTCCTTCCAAAAGAAAGGTGTTCCCATAATGAACTAGACTTCTCAATGCTGTTGACTGTCTTCAAGCATGGAGGAGGAAACCAGGCTTCAAAATTTCCCTTCATTTCGCTACCTAGAAGCAGAGATCCTAATTTAGTTAAATCCTTTCCTTCCCCAGAGTTGGCACCTCTAGAAAGTGCTTCTTGCACTCTCTTTTGCATGCTGAGAGAGCCTGGCCAACTGCTTCAGATTGTAACCATAAATTAGAAGCCTAAATTCCGGATGCATCGAGTTAAGTGAGATGAATCCTATCTCTAGGGGTGACAGTAATAGATTTCACAGAGTGAGAGATCTTTGACCTTGTAATTAAAGTGAATTTTTTCAGTCAGGACTGCCCTCCGTGACTTTCCACTGAGGTAGCAAAGCAGGGTCTTGCTCTTTGCTGGAGCCTTCTGGTCCTGCTGTCATACATAGGGCTCCCATTCGCAAATGCCACGTTGTTATTCTGAAAATCCCTCTCATAACAGCTCCATTTTTCTCTAGTATTTTCCTGACTGACTGAATGGAAAGACAATGATAGCTATACAAACGTTCACAAACTTCAAGAAACTTTTGATAGCAGCTCTAAATTGTTTATTTTTTGATATCCATATTGTTTGAAGATTGTGTCTACTTGTTCAGCCAGCCTTACAAATATGTCTAAAAATACAGGGAAAATAAATTTGCTGAAGTTTGACAACTTCTGTTTGATCAAAAGTTGTTTGGTCAAAAGTATTTTAAAAGTCAGGAAATATTTTTTTTTCTAGATGCTATCGTAATTATTATTATCATGAAGTTTCTGAAGAACAAAGAAAAAGACATTTCCACACAAGTTCTACATGAATTGTTAGTGTCAACTTTGAATCTCCTCGGTTTTTCCTAGTTTATAAAACATCCTTAATATAGAATTGTTTTGTCTGAGATCCTGTGTTTATTCAAATCCCGTGTTTATTCAAATTCTTAGATTCATAATATTGAAGAATGATTTACTTCTTCTCCATATACCTATTTCCCTCTTTTTGCTTCCTTTTCTATTTCTTTTAAGGACCAATGTGCATCTCCAGTGCTCTTAAACATAAAGCTGTCTTGTCAATTCACTGTTCTCCAAAATTTACATTCCAGCTTTCAGCACTCTCTAACTAAATGAAGTTTGCTCTTAGTCCTTAACACATTTTAAGTACTTCCAAAATTCTGTAAATCAGGAGAAGAACTGAAGTCCTGATGATACACCTAAGTCAGACCAAAGACTGTATTGGCTTCTAACTCCTCTGACTCTAGCATAAAAAAATAAGACATGCTTGATTGAGACAGAGTAACAAAGTCGCCCATTTGTTCAACCACCTCAATAGACAGAAGACATTAATATTAATCTTTCTGATGAAATTCTAATTTAGCAGTTCACGAGGGCTAATATTTTGGCTCTGGCAAGAAGCTAAAAGGAGTTTATCTGGCAACAGCACATGGGCCTGACTGAGCAATAAGGTTACATGGCCACCAGGACAGATCCACCTGCTCTGGGACCAGGTAGAAAGGAAGCATATGGCACGGTTGGGTGACGACTGGGGAGTTTCAGTTTCCACTGTTTTTTTCCAGTCCACTGAGAGCTGTCAGTGTGGATATAAGCTTATGTGGATTACACCACCAGCAGCAATGTTGCCCACTTGTCATTCCTTCAAAACTGGATGATAACTGGAAGTGCTTTGTTTGTGCTGATCTAAGGCTGGGAAATGCCCATGAGCTATCTCAGTCTGTTTTGTTGTATTTATGTCAGTGTTGAAAAGCACTGGGTAAGTTGTCTGTGATGAGGGGTAGCTGCTGTCTCTTACAGCCTGTCTTACCTCATGGTTTCATTTTTGATCTGTAGCAGCAACTCCATCCGTTTGGTCTGTGTAGTTTCCTGCCTTCACGGATGCAGTGTTTGGGAGGCAAAGCCTATGACTGACTTCTCAGCTCTTCTTTAGTCCTTGCAGATGAGGCTCAGCTGCTTCTTTTCTAGAGATGTCTGCCCACACCCAGCTACCACACACCTTGATTGAACCTGCAGTCAGTACCAGGACTTCAGCCAGCCACTGGAGCTGGTTTAATGTCAAAATAGACCATGATCTACAAGCTGTGTGCAGGCAGCTTCTCACCCATCTCACAAATACAGGAACATGGGCAGCTGTCACTAACAGTGGACAATTTTGCTTGATGATTTCAGAGAATGATGAGGAGCAGGAGGCTCTGCTATCCCTGGACAAGCCCGGCTGGTATTCCCAAGGTAATGCTATCCAGCTTTATGAACTACTGAAGAAGATGATTGGCAAGTTGGATCCCAAGGTATGTTATAAATAGGAGTAAATCTTTCTGAAAACGCCCTGTTTCAGTCTAAAATTCAACAGACAAACTTTCATTACAGTAATTGGTGTGTTTGCTCACAAATATTTGTTCTGGTTATGCTTGCTGTTGTCTAATAGATTTCAGTCCACAACTGGAAGTATCACATTAGTCTTCTTATCAATAGAATATATAAACTTTCTAGATGTTTTAATTCCACGTGCATAGTCATGCATTTCAGCAGCTTTGGGGAGAATCAGTCTGTAATTGGGAAATAAACAATTTCCCTAAGGAAACAGATCAAATAGATTAAAAGGTGGCATCAGTGAAAACTCAGATCATGTTATTTTAATTGCAGGTCTGGGTGGGTGAAAATGCCACTGAAGATGGTAGGACCACATTTTCCCTAGTGGGTAAAATATCCTCTGGGCACAGAAGAGTTCTGAGTCACTGAGATATGCTCCATGTTCACCCTTGGTTCCTAAACTGTCCAAAATGCATTCCAGTTACTTGGTGTATTTTCTTGGTAGCCTTTTCCACTGCTTCCTGGCAGGGTGTTTCTGTCAGTCAAAAAACTCAGTTGTGTCCCCTGTACTGGTCCCAGACACACATCCCCATCCCATGCCCCTGGAGGGTGAGAGCGAGGAGGGTGTGCAGAGCCAGCCTCTTTATGAGGGAACTGGTTGAAGATAAAACCCAAAACATTAAAGTGACAAGATCTCTGTGTGTCATAACAAAACGTAAACATGAAGGAATTTTTCTTAGGTTGTTTTAAAGCTCTTTTTCCCTCTGTGAAATAGTTTGCTTGTGTTTTCCTCATATACAATGAACTTTTAATTTGCTGCTTCCCTCATAGGTTGTTTATTTTGGTGACAGCATGCACTCAGATATTTTCCCAGCACATCACTACAGCAACTGGGAAACCGTCTTTATCTTAGAGGAGCTTCTAGGGGACAAAATTGTGGTGCCTGCGGAGACTGAATCTGAGCCCTTGGAGAAGAAAGGAAAATATGAGGTAAGGTTTCCCTGCAGATGTTTCCTGGAAGAGAATAAAGAAAGTTATAAAAAAAAGCCTCATGCTACCTGCACTGAGAATGAGCCTGCTTATCTTACCAGGCTGCCAGCACCACCGGCATCCCTCTCAGATGTGTCCTCCTGGCTGCACCAGGAGTGTGCCATCTTGCCCCAGCTCAGCATTGCATGGGTGACACACAGCTAAATCACAGATATCAGAAAAAGAGCTGTATTCACTTTCCCTTAAGAAAAAAACATAGTCTTCTCCTTTTCAGTAACCCACCCTCCCTCCTACAGGAAGAAATTTCATGGCCACTTATCACATATCCAGCACCTGCACTTTGCCGAGTTCGTGGTGTTTCCCTGTGTGTTGTGGCCAACTGTAAACACACACGATTTTTTTATTAGGTTGTTTTAAAACTCTCTTTCTCTCTCCATGAAATACAGTTTGCTTGTGCTTTCCATATATACAAAGAACTTGTAATTTGCTGCTTCCTCATAGGTTGTTTATTCTGGTAACAGCTGCACTCTAGGTAACTTTCTGCCTCCCACAGGAGATGGAAGGTTACTATGGCCAATCCTTCTCTCTGCTGCTGAACAAAGTAGCCAGGGAGCAGCACTCAGATGGCTGACATGGAAGTATACTTCCAGCATGTCCTATGTAGGAAATATCATACAGCTGTGCTCTCCAGTTGGAGTGTTTCTTCTTTTCTTATGTTCCTATATAAATAAATCATTTGATTCAAGTTGTAAAGTTATATATGCTTCTTGCACTTTGCTTTTAAAAGCACTTAAGGGTTTTTTTTCTTCTTAAATAATTACTTTTTGTGATTAAAGAGTTAACCTACTGGTAGGATGATTTTTGTGAGGTGCTTTTATACTAGAGAGGGTTTTAAATGAAGAGGCATTTTAAAAGCCCCTGATTTTTAAGGAGAAAAGAGTATCTTCAATGGGACTAAAACAATATAGATGTCATATCTACTTAACTACTTTTTTAATAGACAGATCTAATATTTTCCCCCACTGTCCTGATTTCTAAAGTAAGGTCAGACAAGAACCTTCAAGCCACTGAAATAAGGAAATGTTTCTTATTAATTAATTAATGTTCAGGCTTTGCTGGGGTTGCAGAAAAACAAAAAATTAAGACAAACTCAAATCTTCTAGGAAGAAAAATGTTTCTTAGTAAGAAAGGGAGGAAAAAACAAAGAGTAGTAGTGCTACATAGGTTAATATAATTTGACTGAATTAATGCTATAAATATAACTCATTCACCTCCATAAATTTGTTCATTCTCTGACTGGAGACTCTGCTGCACTGCTGCATAGAACTTACAACTCCGTAAGGCTTAGCATTTCAAACCCCATCCAACCATGGTTTCTTAAGCAAGTTCAATATATGCTTTTGAAGCACGCATATTTAAGCAGACAGCCAGAACATGTTTCTTTTCCTGGAAGTACAAGGAGAGAATCATTGAGTGATGTGTTTCTAAGCCCTTGATGATGATTTGGTTTTCTCTTGTCACAATACCTCTGGTCGACTGTTCACAAGATCGATCTTCTCTGTCACTGCAGTTATGAAGTGGGAAATTGAGACTTTTAGACAGATGCTTGGCATTTCACTAATACTGTGGTATTGCTGATAAGAGACTGCAGTATCTCAGGGAGACACCACCTCTGCCACACACAACTCCTGTTCAGTTGACATCCGCTACCAGTGACAGCGAGCAAGCAAGGGAGAAATGAATTGCGTTGATTAAAGGAACCTGAACCAGGGGGGCCGAGGCAGGTCAGTGGTGTTATTTCATTACCACGCTGCTCACTGGAGTCTGAACAACAGGTCACATCCATATCTCTGCAGTTGACTGGACACCACTAACTTAACAGGACTGGTTCAAAGGGATTCCCTTTACAAGCCTAGGAAAGTTTTCTTTTCATTCGCGTAATCAATTTCTCCCATTAACCCTTGGTTAAGAAAAGCAAACTCAAAGGATTGTACAAAGTCAGGTGGTTTTGGAAAATTAAGCACCAACAAGGTAGATTTAGTCTTATTTGTCAGCCTTTCTCATTCACTGGCAGTTAAAAAAATACATTATTACTGCAGATTTGCCATGCTGTGTGTGTGGAGAGGGACTGAGTAGTTAATACAAGATGCAATCCTCTCTTCTATCAATCTTTACAAAATATTATTAAAGAAATAAATTGTTCCTTCTAATTTGCAATTGCATCTTTCAGAAAGTACAAAAAAATGGATTCAGTTGTTTGTCCGGTATTTCATCACTAACAGGGAGAGGGGAAGAAAACAACCCTCACACACAAACTGGGAGGCTAGTAATTTCTATTTTCGTTAGAAATTTTTGTCTTTTCCCTTCAACTAAATGCGTGATATAAGCCAGATACACGTAACTGTGAAATTATGGTAACATCTGCAGTTCTTTCAAGTACATGAGTCAAAACCAAATGAGCAAAAGAATAGCAAACTAAGAACTATTCATGAAATTACTCAGCTCCTGAGTGACTTGCAGCTTGCAGGGAAAAAAAAATTCCAAGCATTGTGTTGAAATGAGATTCCCTCCAGATTTGGGGGTTGGTTTGTTTGGCTGGAGGCTTTTTTTTTTTGCCTTCTGTTCTTTAAATGTGTGATCAATTCCATCAATGAAAACTTGAAGAAAAGCTGGAATTTGTCCCAGGATTTCGAGGGAAGCGATTAAAGAGGAGCTAGTCAGCATGTAAAAACCTTGGGCTATAAGAATGAATGCAGCAGAAACTGAAGAAACTACTGACACCTCTAGTTGATATTTTTGCAGTTAGAAGGAAAAACTAATTTTTACAGTATTGCCTAGTGGCTGGTTGTTTGACAGAGTCAGGGCCCTTAACCCCCTGAATTTCTCTGACTCCCTCAACATGACCTTAGGCAAAGGCTAATTACCCTCTGCCTTTTGGCTGCTTTGTCTCTTTATTATTGTTTAACACAAATCTAAGAGTATTTTGAGGAACAACCTGTTATGAAGCCTGGCAAGTTAAAGCCATATCCTTAAAGCAATATCCTGAAGTAAAAAGCATTTTATTTTAAAGGAAGTCTGCTTATAGCAATCCATGCTGAAGTTTAGCTATAATACAGGTGAAATGCTTTGTATTTGCAAATGATTTGGGGGGGGCAGGTTCTGGGCTAGAGTTAGATCTCAGTGGCAGGTTTGCACATGTGGCGTGGCTTTGTTATTCAGGGACATCTGGTTGTTGTGACCAGCACAGCTGTGCTGGCAGAAACACCTCAAAAACTTGCCATTATTCCAGCAAAACTGTATTTTGAGCATTGTTTTTTGTGGCAGAGTCGATGCTGACATTACTACCGTGGCACAAAGCACAGAGCCATCAGTACCATCCATTATATTGGATACAGGATACAGTATGAAATAAAATAATACTAGTGTTCCATGCTTGGTATAAAGTTGATGGCACAGATGGCAAATCCCCATATAAAAATACTAATATACTGCATGTACAATGTTTTTCAGGTTGATTTTTCACTCCTTTATGTCCTTCTTTCTTTGATCTCTTTACTTGCAACCTGCTGAAGGTGAGCCTGCTTTAAGCGGGGGGGGGTGGACTAAATGGTCTCCAGAGCTCCCTCCTAACCACTACAATTCTGTGAAATGTAGAAAAACTTCAGAGCTCATCTCCTGCCTATTTCAAATAGGTCATTTGTAAGCTGACAAATCAGTGTCACCCAAGGGTCCTACAGACAGGTTCTGTCTGCTCTGTTAACAGGCCCTGCTTGTTTTCAGTTAATAAAGCAAAGGTGATAGTGAGTACTCCAGGTGGTTTAACTTAGTGGAAAACCTTAGGACTTGGGGAAGCCTGAACCTTTGTTATTTCTCTGAAGTCTAGACCTAGTCTTTGGGGCTTTGTACTCTCAAATGACAAAATCAACATCTGACCTGCTACTTTCTGACCAATGTGCCTGAGAGCAAAACCACACACTTGAAGGTTTTGCATGTGAAAGAGGGATTGCTCAGCACTTCCCAGGACCTGCTGTCCTGCTTCCACAGCAGCACGTTGGGCGACTACAGGAGTGGCTGTTGCACCTTCCAGAACTCTTCTGCCCCACTGCTGAACGTATGTCTCCAGGTGTGTGAGGAGTAGTGATGTTACGTGGTGGCTTTTGCCTCATTTCACAGATGTATAGACTTCATGGTATGTGATTCTCCTTCATTGCAGGCTACGCGTGCTGCAGGTGAGATAGGGCAGCACTTAGGGATTGCAGGGGGAGTGATGTCAGATACTTCCAAAGGATGTGAGCAAAGTTTTGACAGCTCTTTTCAGATCTGAGATCAAGATTTAATGCTGCTACCAAACCACCCTTGTCACGTGGAGATAAATCAGTAGGAAAATGGTGGAAGTTCTCTATCAAGTGACTTGAAGACAACTCTCATATCTAACTGGCTTTGGTTTTATTAAGGGCTTGGGCTGTAAATCCAAAATGTAACTCCCTCTTCCTTAACAAGGAAGAAACTGCCACTCTAAGAATCAGACCTCTGAAAAAATTATTTCCTTAGGCTATAATTTTAATTGTCTACTGGGCCAATCATACATTTCAAAAAGCAGAAGCCTCAGATTTTTTCTCTCTTCAGTAAACAAGGTCCTGTCTTCTGTGCACATGCTTGTGTGTGCTAGCACTGGGGTTGTTTTCATTAATCACCTGAACAGCTGGGACAGTCTTGAGTTTCCTACGTTTGTCATCCAGCTGGCAAGCAGATTTTAACTCGGCATAGCATCTACATTTAATTATAACTGATGTAAAGTCCTGGGATTTGCATGGAAAGATAATGAGATTTGGGGGAAAAAAAAAAAAAGTAAGACACTGTTCCTATATGCAAGGGGAAAAAAAAAAAAAAAAACAAAAAAACACAAAAGAGACTATCTCTTAAGTTATTTGCTGGATTTGAAGTAAAAGATGCATTTTTTTTCCGACTTCTGTACATCAGAAAAGAATATCTATATTTGTCCCAGCCAATACCTCCTCCCCAACCCCAGCTAGGGTCAAAGGAAAAACTGGTATACAGAATCACAGAAAGAATGGCTCTGCGTTCACTGTGGTCTGTTCAGCTGGATCAACAGCTTTCCCATGATCAAAAGCCATGGACCTCTGTCATAAACATAAATTATTCCAGCAGATTCTCAAAACTGTTAAGAAAAGGGTTAAATGGAAAATAAAGTTAAAAAAATCATTACTCTAGAGGCACATGCTAGGATGTCTGCTCTTCTATACTTTGCTGGTCTGAAAGGATACTTTGCACACCAATGACTTCAACAGATTTTCTATAGGGTAGTTCACAGTTTTGTTTTCCATTTTTTAATCTTTCTGTAGGGGCCTCCTGGAGCTCCTTCGGGCCACTCATAGCAATATATAGCAGGTTTCAAGATGAACTGCTAAAAAAAAATGTTTTGCCCAATGCTGCTTTAATGCTTTCTTTACAGCTCAATGAGTCTATATGTTGTTGTCTGAAAATACACATTATAAACAATCAATTTTTCTCAAAAGCTGCTAGGCAGCTGTATGGCTCTCCATGGATCCTGCAGCTCTGTTCTCACTTTCTCCTCAGCTCAGAAACAGATAACGCGACACAGGTGGCATGAGGCATTCTTCACAATTACTCCATCCAGCACCAGGAGACTCCTTTCTCCTAGGAGGAGGTCCAGGATGGGTTACAGGCTGTGCCGCAGCTGCCCAGATGCTCCAGCAGAGAAAGGCAGTAGCCTATTCATGCTATCAAAACCAGAAAAACAGGAAAAAGATAATATTTTTTAAAGGAAAAATATTTAAAGCAAACTTTTTATATCCTGGGGAATCCATAAATTGCGTAAACAGGAACTCGGGGACTTACAGGAGGAAGATTGTTACTATTTTTCTTTATAATATTTTGAAGTCACATTGCTCCTGAGATATAATACAGATCTCCCAGAAAATCAGAGAAACATTAGAATTCCTTAAACTAATGCTTGTGTTTTCTTTTTATTGTTTTTGTTATGATTACATATTTGTTTTTCTTTCAGGAAGATCAGCCTGAAACTCCTTACTTTGTGTCTAAACAGTGGGGATCTTTCTTCGTGGACAGATTGCCAGGCCTGGAAAATGCAGAGGAAACCTTAATTCGCACATGGTCATGTAGATGTATTAGCACTTACAGCACTATTGCAATCCCTAGTCTTGAAGCAATAGCAGGTAAGGAAGATTGCTTTTTTTTTTTTTTCTAATGAACATTTATTATTTGTAGTAGCTTTGTTATACTGTAAATCTATTTTTGAGGTTACACGTCCAAAATACATTCAAAAACATTGTATTCATATCATGCAGCAGTTAATGCTAATGGTTTTACTTGGACGTTTATGATTTTAATAATAATTTTCTTGTCTGCTACACCAGCTCAGTTTTTTGTTTGCACCCACAAATATTAGAACCTTCGATTATCCTACATTAGAAATGGGATGTAACATTTAACAGATTTTAAATTAGTTCCTGAATTTTGATTCAGGACTTTACCACAGTATTTTGCTGTGTTTACTTTCAGTGGTGAGTTACCTTAGGGAACAAACACATACATAGTTACCTGGATTTTTTAGACTTCCAAATATGTTTCTCCCTGATCTGTCTTGTTAGCCTTCCTCAACCAGCTTCCCTATCCCTCTACAGTTGAAATGAACGAACACAGGAATGTAATGAAGCCAAGCATACCTAGGATTGTGTTTCATTCTCGTTTGGTTGGTTGGGTTTTTTTTAAATTGTGTATTGCTTTTGAAACTGCATCATTATGAACAGAGCTTGAGCCTAAAATATTCTCCTTATCTGGAAAACAAGGTAATTGCAAGCAATGTCTTGTTCTCAAAAAAGTCACCTAGTTGAGAAACCAGATCAAACTTTTCACCTTCTTTCATCAAGGATACATCAAAGGTACAGTTATGGCTGATGTTTCTGATTTCCACTAACGTATATCGCTGGAGGGGCCATACATAATTTTGAATGTCTGTAGGAATAGTTGTAGCAGTAATACTGCGATAACTTTGCAACTGCAGTACATATGGATTGATTACAAACTGGTGGTGAAGACCCTCCACCTATCTATCCTCAGGCTATCATTTTGCCTTACTGAACTCTATCACTACACTGTATCTAAAGGAATAAAGAAATCATTAAGTGAATGAAGTGCTTAGCTGTATGAAGAATGCAGCAAGCATTTAGTTTACTAACCTCTCTGTTCAGCATCTGTTGCCTACTTCATGCATAAGACCAAGGAATAAAAAGTTGTCTCGAGAGAGCATTTCAGATTTGCCCAGCAGTTATTTCTACACCAGAGCATGTGATAGACCTGTTCTTTGCAACCATATTCAACATCCATATGTACATTGTCAGGTTATCTCAAAACAGAAAACTCATACGGTGCCACAATTTCTTTATTCTTCCGATACTTACTGTATTGCAGTCTGTATTTCAGCCTAAAGGTGCAAAGCCCAAGTATATCAAGGGGAATTGCCAAGAGAGAGGTAATTTCTGTAAAACTCCCTTCTAATACCTTTTCCAGAGTCATTCTGTGGCTTGCTTTGCAAGTGTTGACCTAGGGGAAACACATCAGTCAGCCACACTCTGTGAAACTGCCTCCCAGCCAGCTGCTCCCAGCCACAGCTCAGTTTGCAAGGCTAGCAAAGGCTTTAGACCACAAACGTACCACGAAGTTTCCAGCTACAGATGAAGGGGTGAGAACCAGAAAGGCATATCTGTCTGAATTAGTGAGTAGTGTAGCTGCCGGTAGCCAACAGTGGAGACCTTCCAAAGTCTGCTTGTCCATTAGGAGGGATGCTGTGTGCCATCCCTCTCTGGGTCAGACTGGTGCTCGGGCAGGGGCTGGCGTCTGTGAAACTTAGATCCTTAGCTAAAGGATGGGGGAGGAATAACATTTTTAACTTGTAGCTGTGCACCTGAAAGCAGACTCAAAGCTGAAGGTACAAGCACATCTCTGGTTTCTCACAAAGAGAGATTTCTTGTTTGTTTGTGCGGAAAGAGCAGATGTTCATTATTGTACATGTTGAGGAATTCCTGACTCCTCTCAAATACCTTGCCTGACTCCTGTCACAGCAAGCTGTGAGAGCCCCTGCTTTGCCAAGCCCTGAAGTTTTTGGCTGCAGTTGTAAGTCATAGCTTAGCTGCAGCTATTTGGGAGTAACTAGCTAGAAGAGATTCAAACAGGTTATGCGAGTTTGATGCACTCCAGCTTCTCCTTTTCTATTATTCTACTTTCATTATCAGCAGAGGACTTTCCACTGCCAAGCTGAAAAAACTCAGTCCTTTCCTCAAGATGCCCTGACCCCAGCAACCAGGCTCTCAGTGTTCTGACCACAGAAGCCCAGCTCCTGGCCACCAGCTGGTACAGCCCTGGCAGCACCTGGCTCAGCCTAACCCAGACAAATGAGCTCCCACCTCCCTTGAGGTGTGCTACAGCCTTCTCTGATTTGGGGGCTCGCCAGGGCCTCCCTGTCAGTGATGTCTGTCCTGGCTTTTGTACGTCTAATGTGAGCAATAGTAAGTGCCATGTGCAAGGAGATACCCCCAACAGCTCATGATCTGCAAATTATTTTGGTGAAAGCTAGACAATTGCTGCTATGGTAACTTTAAAATTCATCTTTGTTGTTTGAATTCAACCTGTATCTGTGCATAAAGAACATCTTGGTTTACTTCTCAAGGCACATTTTTAGTTGAAAAAGATTGTTCAAAACATTATTCAACTTTATGCAATACTAGTCATGTTTTACAAAAATAACTCAGTTTTCATCAGAATTCATTTGGTAATTCTTTTGAGAGGGTTTTCAGAAGTTCATTTTGGGTAATAAAATCCTTCAAGACTGTTTCTATTTTTTTTAAAAAGAGGAAATGTGAAAAATGTAAAAAAACCTGAAAATAAGTTCTAGATCTAGATAGGGCCACTTCTGTTTAACATCTGTACAATGATCTTGACGAGGAGATAAGAGTTCACCCTCAGTAAGTTTGCAGATGACACCAAGTTGAGCAGAAGTGTTGATCTGCTTGAGGGTAGAAAGGCTTTACAGAAGGACCTGGGTAGGTTGGATAAATGAACCAAGGCCAGCTTTGTGAGGTTCAACAAGGCCAGATGCCAGGTATTGCACTTGGGCCATGACAACCCCAGCCTTGACAACCCCAGGTAATGCTACAGGCTTGGGGATGAGTGGCTGGAAAGCTGCCTGGCAGAAAGGGACCTGGGGGTGTTGACTGACAGCTGGCTGAACATGAGCCAGCAGTGTGCCCAGGTGGCCAAGAAGGCAAACAGCATCCTGGCTTGTGTTGGCTAGTGTAGCCAACAGGACTATGGAAGTGACTGTCCCCCTGTACTTGGCACTGGTGAGGCCACACCTCGAATACTGGGTTCAGTTTGGGCACCTCAGTAAAAGACATGGAGGTGCTGGAGTGGCTCCAGAAAAGGACAGTGAAGCTGGTGAAGGGTTTAGAGCACTAGTCTTCTGAGGAGCAGTTGAGAGAACTGAGGTTATTTAGCTTGGAAAGAAAGAAGCTCAGAGGAGACCTTATCACTCTCTACAACTCCCAGAAAGAAGGTTGTAGAGAGGTGGGTGCTGATCTTTTCTTGTAAGTAACAAGTGATAGGACAAGAGGAAATGGCCTTAAATTTTTCCAGGGGAGTTTTAGGTTGGATATTAGGAAAAATTTCTTCACTGAAAGGCTTGTTAAGCACTGGAACAGGCTGTCCAGGAAAGTGTGATTCAGTCACTATCCCTGGATGTGTTTAAAAGTCATGTAGATATGGTGCTTAGGGACATGGTTGGGCAGTGGACTTGGTGGAGTTAGGTTATTGGTTGGACTCGATCTTAAAGGTCTTTTCCAACTTAAATGATTCTATGAAGAGAAACAACTTTGACATTTCTCTTTTTTCACCAACATGTTTTAAGTTTGGTGCAGATGCCTCCTCATAGTTCCACCTGAGGAATTTGTATATGTAACTAAAAGGAAAGATCTGATACTTAGTAAAGAGCATTGTAGGAAGTGTTTCACAGGTAATGCTGCTGTTGCAGTCCTTGGCCATTCAAAGTATAAAATAACAGAGCATATACAGAAATTGTATGTGTAATTAGTAAAATGACAGCTTGGTGAAAAGATAATCCAATCTGTTCTTCATTAGCTTTTTGTGCTAATCTAATTCAGTCATTCTACAATTCTGTCCCCATCTCTACTTTAAATACTTTAAATTTAGCATCTGGCTCAAAGGGGGTATGCATTCAAAGATGCATCAGAAATTCGGAACTTTAATCTCACCTCTGGCAAGGAAAGTACTAGTGGGATTGCGGATTACTGTGTCACAGTTTGTCACTTAAACTTCTCTGACAGTTCCTGAAGAGAAATTGGCATTTTCCTTGTGCGTAAAAAAGGACATTTTGTTTATTGTTAAAATCGCCCAAAGGACAAAAAGGATCGTCTACAATACTGTGTACTTTTCTGAGTTTGAAGTGGAAATCAGGTACAGGTCTAAGAAAACATCTCATTTAAGACATCACCTTGACATGAAGATGACATTTTAAAAGGTTTAACTGAAGAGCAGCATTATAGTTACATCTTTGGCATAATAAAAAAGATGAGTTAAGTTGAAGGTTTTCTAAACATCTCATAGGTCTTTTATGAGCTAATTCTCCTTACTTTCAGTAAGCAGGTTTTCTCAAGTATTGGAAAGCTGATGAGCTTATGATTATATTGACAGTGCACTGTTAATAAAACAGTAAAAGCTAGTATGCCCCTACTCCTAGTTCTACATGCCTCATTCACAAATCCATCCATTTCTTCACTTCTCTGCTACTGAACTTCACTTACAGCTCCCTTACAGATTTTGACCATTTTCAAGCACAACAATATCATAAGCCAAATTTTATAAACCAGGATGCGTTACCATGGGAATTTTACATCTGAGCTCACACATGGAAATGAAAAGGTGTAGGGGTCTGTCTGACAAATGGCTTTTTGCATAAAATGCCAGTTTCTAATTCATCCTCTACTTCAGAAACTTTGGTGTGATCCAAATAGAGGTGGATACTCCTATCTATCATACTTGAATAATCTGAACTTTACCTTCAAGGAGCAGGTGACCACTGTTCTGTGGCCATTTGATCAAATTTCCAGATACCCATGTAAATAATTTTATGTCCTGCATCTCA